AAAAAAATCCAAAAGTCGAACAATTAGGAACCTTCAACAGTTAAAAAGTAATTCTCGAGCAAAAATCTCCCCTGACGACGCATCTCGAGGATATCTGAAGGAGATATTGAACGAAGGATAAAGTGCAGCTCTGGAAGCCGCTGAGGAGCAAGTTGTAAAACAGCCAAACGCCAATCAACTGCATCATGAAAGGGAAGAATGGCTTTCAAAGACATGATGACCGGTACAGCACCATTATTTAGCGCTTCGTAAAGTCGAAGATTGAACTGCTTGCTGCAATCCAACATTGGAACTTCAAATATCAGCACAAACATCGAGTTTTTCAACAAGAAACCTGAAAGAAAAAGCTGCTTGAAGTTCAACTATATTCATCATGAAGAACCCACTTCGAATAAATGTAGTGAAGCCGATCCTTGAAAAATAAATCAAAGACACTACAATTCTGACAACCCTTACTTCGCTGTGACGTATTCCCACATAATGAGAGCGCATCAGCTGAGCAATTTGTATCTAAATAGACAACATCACCAACAGACTGAGTCGACTGAACAATATTAACCATATAATCGCGGAGAGAGCCGTCCAAATATCCTTCATAAGACAAGAGATACTAAATTTCGCCAAGTAACTATGTTTTGAACAGAAAGTTTTATAATCAAAAGCTTTTAAACATGTTCTCAACTATAACTACCTCTCGCCGATACGGCAATAGTGGTGGTAAGGCTTCCCAATCGTTCTCTCTATGATGATTGACCTTTAGGTGAGCAGTAATATCAAAATCACTCCTAAATGACCTGGAAAAAAAAAAGCTGACCAAAAACGCTATAAAATTGAATAAAAACAAAAACCCGATGCTGAGAAGTTGATAATTACTAGCCTAACATCAATCTATTGAAAATTTTAAACCTAGGAGGTGTAATCAGAATTACCCCATACTAAAAACTGGTGAAACAACCAATCCATTCATATGCTCCTCCAAAGAAGATTCTCCAAAATTTATCAAAACATGATTGGTTCCTTCTCGCCAAAAAGCTAAGCTGGTTAAATCAGCATCACTCTCCACAAAAGCAATGAAAAGGCAGGCTGCTTCAGGAGAAGTAGTTATCTCCTTCCGACCGCTATAAAAACGTTAAAATCGTAAAAAAACAACAAAAGTTCGTTATTTTTTACACAATAATCAGTTGAAAAAATCCAAAAAATTAAAAAATTTTTGATCATCCTCAAAATAATGATAAATATATGAGTGGTCTGCGCAACAGTATCAGCTAAATGTTAACATTAACTTGAAAATTTAAAAAAATAGCTCAAAGGCAGCAAGAGAAGCTTTAAAGCTTACCTAAATACCTGAAAAAATTTTTTTGTCTGAAGCGACGCATTTGCCGACAGAGGGTAAACGAATATAGGAAAACCTCCGGCAACTGAACATCTGCTAAAAAAAAAAAAATTTTTAAAAACTATTTAATGAAATGCTAAATAAATATACAAATTCAGAAGAAAATATAACCTAAAATCAAAAGCATTTTCAAAGAATTTTCCACGAGGAATCCGTTTGTCAATCTCTATCCCACGAAGTGGAGGCGACAAGGGCAGAGAAACCCGAACATTTTTCGTATTCTGCAGTTCCTTCTGCAGTAAACGCAAAGTTTCTAGCTCTATCTGCAGTTCTGCTAACTCCGTTTCTGCATATAGAGAAGTATTTTAAAGTTCAACTGAAGAAGTCAATTTCTAAAAAAAAAAACTCATAGTGGAGACAAAACATACTTTTCTCAACGAGAGTTTTTTGCACTCCTTCAACTTCTGCGTTGGTTTTTTCCAGCTGCCTAGCTGCTTGAAGCAAATCACGACGTACAGACTCCAAAATGCGCTGCAGCTCTTTGACACGAGTCGCGCTCTTAGCGCAGGAATGAACAGTCACATCGTCAATCTCATATCTGAAAATGATAACGACAATTTGTGACAAGTTTTCTGACCACCTTAATCATGTACATCAATAGCTCGATTTGTATGTTAACCTATCCAGAATTTTAAGAACTCAAACCCAAAACTGAACTAAAAATGGATAAGAAGTGGAAAACAAAAAAGTTTTTACAATAAAGATTTTAAATCTCCTGAAACGCTGAACAATTTAACTCACTACAGAAACCTTCTAAAAAGTTCTCAAATGATAAAAATATAACAAAATTATTAATTACCTAAATGACAGAAGATCCGTATTGCTGGGTAGTTCTTCCTGGAAAGAAGAAAGAAATGGCAACGTGAATGCAGTAATTAGCGCAAATGAAATCAAGCCGAGCACTATTCGAACTGTAACGGACTTCCACAAAAATGGTCGCTTTTTAGGATGTCCATTTAATACTCCATTAAATACAGATACTTTAGAAGGATCATCACGACTGCCACTGGAGCGTCGAACCATCCAAATGCAGTCGTTCAACTCTAAAAAAAAGCAATTACCCAAACGAATAACAGTAATAGAAAATACAGAAGAACACAAGCGTTTACAGGAAACAACATTTTATGCAAAAGATAATTAGGATAGGCGAATTCAAAGAGCACTGAACGCACTGAAATATAGAAATGAAGTTCCCAATTACTAAAAAACTTAAATTAACCTTATTGTTAAATTTACAGAAGTAAATGACAACTGATCAAAGAAAAAGGGCAAAAATTAGATGAAACAAACGTTAACCCCTCTGAGACTAAATCTCTGAGACTCAACTTCCATGCTATGTCTCCCAAACAGTCTAATTTAGTAGAATAGAGAAAGCCCGAGTTCACCAAAACTGCCTTCTGTAGCAGAGTGAGAAACTCTTATAGTACCCAGCTAAGTACTATTGGTACAGTTAACTTCTACAGATGTACAGACAGTACAACGGAGACAAGAAACTTTTAAAAATTAGTGAGCATAACTCCAAAATATACCCAAACGAAATTCTGAAATCTGGCAAATTTCCAACGCAACTGGTATAAGCTCAGGAATTATTAGAAGTATAATTGCTTCCATAAAGCAACCGGAACACAGAATCTTCTATACGATCCTCCGGTAACTCCGAGTGGCTACTACTCTTTGTTATCTTGGACGCTACTGAAAATAAACGTGTGTTTGCCCTTGAACAAAATTTTCTTATTGTTAACCTACTTCCACGTCTTGTTTGCGAGATTCCTGAATTCATGTGATTAATCTGTGACAGTCTAAAATTTGCCTGAGTAGTTCTCCTTAACTTTCTAACGACCCGGTAATAGAGTTTCGTTTTGACTCCAAAATGGGTTCCATAATGTCGCTTTACTGGGTAATAGTAGCTAGAAGCTGAGTTTTGTAACCGCATTCCGAGAAATCTGGAAGGTTCAACTAAATCTTCACAAAAACTTCTTGTTAATGATTTTAAATTATTCAGTCGTGGGCCTGACGGAGGACCTCAAATAAAAAAACTGAAATGGATTAACAACAAAAAGGGAAGCATATTTGGGGATGGGAATAATTAAATACTATCTTTTTCTTTTACATCCGCTTTTCTAAGCTTCAACTTCTTTCATTTTCTACTCATATCTCACACAGTAAGCAAAAATAGTCTCAGATAAGTTTCCAACCTTCTTCCCCTTGACACCTATCGTTGTAACAGTTTCTTTCTAGGCTGAAGTAAGAGTAAGAGCGCAAGAACGTGGCGTTTTCGAAGCACACTGCTTCGGACACTTTAGTACCGCTTAAGAATACACCTTCCTGACGACAGCTTAAAGTAGA